GGGGGGGGGGTGCTAAATAGTTGCTTTTCAAGAAATTCTGATAAGTGGTTAGTTCTTGTAGGTCTTACAATTATGTGATTAAGATCAAAGCTTGACTTTGAAAAGTAACTTTCTAGTAAGAAAAAATGAAACCCAAACAGAGGCTTTTTTCCAATGTAATGTTCTGTATTGACTGACTTGAGACGATAAAGCGTTCTTCATTGATAAATTAGCCTTTCACTAGATGGTAATGGACTGTTGACCTTCAAAGTCCTATATACTTGGTATGCTTCAATTTTCTGGAATTCACAATTGAAGTCATTGGCGAATCATAGTTTCTGCATCATAGTACTTTCATGTATCTCTGTGGACTATTACCATTTATCGCTTTACACTAGCAGGTCTATTTTGCACTATAGGTCGTGTCCACCATTTCCTATTGGAAACCTCGTGTGGCATTATAATGACAAGCTGTTCAGCCCTTGGAACTATCAATGACTAAAAATGTATTTTATAGGTTCAGTTTTTTTATCTATAGCGAAATATAAGATACAAGTTAACTTTGTTATCCATTTTGCAATCACTTGAACAGAATATATAAAGAAAATCAATATTTTACAAGTTCAGTTTTTTCTTTGGCTTGTTTAGTTTCAAGTTTACTTTGACGTTTCAAAGATTTGGCATTGTCTCGGAGAGTGAAAAATGTTGTTGATACCATATTATGCAGGTTCACATTCGTGATAGCATTCCTTCTGTTGCTGACGGGTGCAGCACTGAATAGTCAACATAGCGAAGAGAACTTGTACTTTGGCAACTATTACTGTTACGTTGTAAAGCCAGGTGTTTTTGCTGGAGCTGCTGTCTTGTCCCTTGCAAGTATCATTCTTGGAATCATCTACTATATAACCTTGACTCGTGAAAAGAACACAAGTGATCATCCATGGAATGGACAAGGTGGCATTGCTATGGCACAACCTCAAATTCCTCCACAAAATGCTCCAAACCCTGTTTTTGTGCATGAAGATACTTATATGAGGCGGCAGCTTGCATAAACAATTATTTTCTTTTTGTCTAAAAGCTTCTTGTTTTGGTTGGTTAGTAACAAATTGTACTTTAGATATGTAATGGCAGTCTTTCTTGCTTTGTTTGCTAGATCATTTTGAACTGGTTTTAACTTCACAATTTTGTCTCCATCCCCTCTTCTTTTTGGACACACTCCAAAATTGGTTCATATTTCATGGTCGTTTCTGGTATCCAATAAAATAGTATTTCACTGTTCTGTTAACTTGTGGGAAAATGAAGGGTCAAAATGAGGCGAGAGTCTTGAGTCATTCTCCCTTGAATCTGGATTTGAAAGTCTTCTTGGTGGGTATAGAATCCTTCATATTATGGGAACATTGAAATGCAAATTATTTATTTCATAACATCCAAATGCGATGGTGATTTCCCTTTTCATTCGTTAAACTTGTTCAAAGCATAGAATGTGTAGAACAAAAGTACAAGCTGATTCTTTAATATTTTATTAGGATTTGTTCTGTTGGTAGTAGCAAATCAAGAATGGAGAATGAAAAGAAACAGTTAACAAAATAAGCTGCAGCCACAAACGATTGTAAGGCACAATTTAGCAGTTTTTTCATGTACAGTGGTTATCGAAACCTGAAATCAGAGTCTACAAGTATGTGAACTTAATGAGACAGCACGATTACTATAGGGCAAAGGCTTGTATTGACTGCACTCTGCCTGAGCGATTGCCTTTGCTGCAACTCTCAGCTAAGAGCATGGAGAGTCCAGAAAAAGATTTAGCTGACCATCATTTGTCTGGAACGTGCAGGAAAATCAATATTTGTAAAATTGTTAACTTATGAAATGACTTTAACAAAGAAGATGACATTCATCTTTCTGTTTATGCGAAGATTATTTTGCTTTGCCTTCCTTTGGTGCAGGCTTAGCTTAGAGTTCACCATATCATCTTATGCGGTTAAAGTAAGCAAAGGGCTCAGGGTTCACATTTGGTGCAGGCTTAGCTACTTCAAGTGCCCCAAAAATGTTCCAAAATCTAAGAGTTTCATCCCTGCCGCAGATGCAACTGCACATCCTTCTGGGCACTGGTAAAGATGATCACAAGAAGAAAAATGTTTGCTTTACGAGCTAAAGAGAGTCCACATGATACAAAATTTTCAAAGATTTAATTATTGCCTAAGCCATAAAGAGAACTCTAGGTGTATGACCAGTAAGTACCTAAGCCATAAAAAGAACTCTAGGTGTACGACCAGTAAGCTTTGCTATTTTCACCATTAAAGGATATTGTTGAAAAATGAGTTGTGGGTCGCCCACGTGGGATGATCAGACCCAGAAGATATTAAAATATAATGGAGGGAGTGATTTGAACTTTAAAATCAAACCTTTTAACTTACCTTAACCTCCCTATAACTCCCCTTAAAATGTCTAGCGGAGAGTAAATATTGATGAAATGGTGAAGATTTGTATGCAAAAATGCACCAAAATTGGAAAGTGCCTAGAGCCATATTTTTTGTTAGAAAATTCACAAAATTGGCACTTAGATTAGGATAATGATCTCGTTCCATTGTGATCGAGATTTGAACCATGAAATTGCAACAAAAATACAAATTTTTGAATTGTTGAGTATGAAAATATAAACAAGTGAAAAACGCAACCTTATTAAACAAACCTAAAAGTGCAAGACTAAAAAAAATTTGGAAGCTCGCAGAAAAGAAAGCGAACTATCTCCCTTGAAGAGATTGCAAAGTAACATGAGCAAATAAATAATTCAAAGATAGCTTCACCAATGAATATGGGACACGTAAATTAATGAACAATGCATGAGTGCATAGTTGAATTAGTTATAAAGCCGCCACTAAATGAAAGCCCCCCGCATTTATCTAAAAGACATAATTACCTACTATGCTTTTAAAAAAATCTATAAATGCTCTTGTCTAAGAGAAGAAATGCACGCACATTCAAATATCTCCCATTTAAATAGCCATTTTCCCTCTTGCTTCCTATTTTAGCATGAAAATCAGATAGTATATGAGGAGAAAGTCTTTACAAGGTGAGAGGAATTTGTTGATTATAATTTTGTAGTCAACAAATTGATGTCGTCTGTGAAAAACAGAACAAAGAAAACCATGAAATCTGTCTGTTGAAGTTGAGAAATTACTGAAATTTGCAAAAAATGAATCAAGCAGAAGTAAATCCAGGAGAAGTGAAGACATTGGAGATCGAGAGTAAAGAGATAAGCTGTGATCCATTCAGCAGCATTGTAAATTCAAAATAGCAGCGAGAGGAATTTACAGTGAAGCTGGAAAAGGATCTATCCCTCATTCGACGCTGACATCCACGAAAGAAGAAGTTGACAGCAAACACTCTACAGGAAATTGGAGTAAACCTGAAAGCTTTAGTAGCAGAACATGCTGCTCTGAACACGAAAATAAGAAACCTGAAAGATAAGCCTACCAGACGAGGCATAGCTTTAGAAAACTTCGGGACGTCAGGGAATTCAAAATATATAACCTATTCAATTAAATCTACAGAGCCCAGGGGTGAAACTTCAAGTCCCGGAGATGAGGTAGTAGTCATCCACAATAATAGCTGAAGAATGTTTTCACCGTATGCTTCAGACAATGAAAGTCCATTGAATGTTTTATATGAAGAAGCTTTTGATAGAATTCAAAAATATAATCCCTAGATTCTTGTATCGGAGCCTCACTACTTCACCAGAGGCGGCACAATTCCTCTTGGACAGGCTACTATGCTAGTGAAAATAGGATATGAGCCCCATGCATATCATGGAAGTGAGGATTTCAGCATCATAAAGGAAAAATGCGCATATGACAGAATCTTCGGACTGTTTGTTATGAAACAGGCGAACATAACCATTTCAATGTCCACATAGCTGATGTAGTAGCTATAGTCTAAAAAAGTTTCAGTGCTTCATCAATTGTCTTTGTGGACAATGATCCGTTTGATAACGAGTCGACCATGCTCTTGAGGGTTGGAAGCATCCTGCATAAAAGTATTGAACCTGGAGTTCCATACTGATTCTATGATGTGGACACTTTCGCAACATATTCTTAAACCTGTTCCAGGCTTCATCAAAGTTCTCTGAGTCACCTTGATGAAAAACAGATATGTCATGCTTGAGCTTTGCAATCTTAGCAGGTGAGAAGAACTTGGTGCAGAATTTCTGTGCTAGATCATTCCATGTAGTGATACTTGCGATTGGTTGAAAATCTGGCCATTCAATTGCCTTGTCGCGCAGTGTATGTGGGAACAACCTTAATCTGATTGCATCGTCTGAGATTCCTTGATATCTGAAGTATTGGCACATCTTCAAAAAGCGAGAGACATGCGTATGTGGATTCTCTTCAGTTCTTCCATAGAATTGATGTCCATTTTGAAATAGTTGTATTACATTGGTCTTCAATTGGAAGTTAGGCTGCCCAAACAGTGGATACATGATGCTCGACTAACTTTGAATTATCTTAGGGGCTATGAAATCTCCTACAAGCATATTTCCTTTATCCGTTGTCCCTTCTTCGTAGGCTTGAAAGATTGGATTGCTTTGTACATTAGACATTTGTTGCTATGCCTCTCTATTTTCTCGCTGCATTCGATGTAAAGTTCGTTCAATTTTTGGATTGGTTGGGATCAAATCTCCTTCAATAGACCTTAACATGCAAATCTGCGAGAAGAATTAATAGGAGTGCTTAGGTACTAAAATGAAGCAATTAACAAAGCAAATAAAAATAAAATAAAATAATAGAAATTGCAAATATTGATGTTCGAATTAGTGGTAATGTATATAAAATTAAACAAATACTCGATCCCCAGCATCAGCGCCAAAAAACTTGTTCATGAAATTATTTTTTTCTATTTAAACAACCGCAAGTGTATAGTTCGTTAACAAGTAATAAAGTGGAATATTGAGTTCCAAATATCGTCCCTCAGAGATCAAGTAGTTCAACTTTATCTACCTTAGCCTTAACCGAAACGAATTTATCAAAGTTGAAGTTTTAACCTCAGAAAACCCTAATTTATCAAAACCTTAATTATGGAAAACCTAATTTCACTAAAATGATTGTTGAATGAATTAAAAACGCAAAACGATGTATCTAAATGAATTTAAATGCAATATGATGATTGGAACGCAAGTTGATTTTACTCAATGAAATTTAAATGCACTGGGGTCATGGATTCCTTTGTAAAGATCACCTAAAACCCTAATTTCACAATATGACAACACGATTCGATTATTGAAGAATCAATACTCCTAATTCTATCCAACACACTCTCTCGAGCGATATTGAACATATTTTTATATATCACCAGCCTATATCTATATAACGGATGCATATATATAAGAATGCATGTAGTTTTATGAGTATTTAACGATTCACGCAAAGCATAGAGGTATATCTCTATCCCCTATCGAACCCTACGATGATTTATACTTTGTCAAATTTGATTCCCTTTTCTCAAATGCAAGAAATAAATCACTAAACATCACATAATTACGTGCACTTAATTATGGAAGCAATTAATGTATATAAATCATTCAAATAATGAAATACGTGTTTAATTGTCAAATTGAAAAAGTTAAAATCCAAGGAAGTTCATCAATCTCCTAGTACAAGAATATTTAGTTTAACATGGAGAAAATAAAAGAATAAATAATTTCTTGAAGATAAAAACATCACCGGGTTATGGGTTCTCGTGAATTCTTGATAATCTTCATGAAATCCTTCATTAATCCCCCTCAAATTCGTCTCTAGAATAAGGTAAATTCTGTAGTCTGAAATCTGATAAGCTGCATAATATTGAAAATCACACCAAAAGGTACCCAATGAATAGCCTTACTCATGTACAGAGTAATCTCGATGTACAAGGTAAAGCCATTCATATCTAATAGTCTGATAATCTGGTCATAAGTATGCAGAGCTGCCCCAGAGGCTAATCACCGTAGTACACGGCCTAAAGCCTATGTGTGTATAAGAGTGGGTCCCAAAGACATCTGATAATCTGGTCATACACTATGAAAGCACATTCACAATAGTGCAAAGCAAGTAAAATCACCATAACTAATCGTATATTGTGAAAACACATTCACACTAATGCAAAGTGGGTAAAATGACCATATGGAGTCATACACTAGAGAAACATATTCACACAAGTGTAGACTAGGGTAAAATCATCGGGTACTTTCTGGTGGTTTTTAGAAATAACTTTAGCTATACTGAAACATTTATACTCATATAACATGCTAATCAAATGTTTTAACTGAACTAAATTTAATTTTAAAAATAACTAATTGTAAATTCACTTTATTCTAAAAATCATCTTGTCAAAGCAACTGTATGAAATAATAAATTTTCTAATCTAACATAAATTTAATAAATATTAATTTCTGAAAAATAAGTTTTATATCCACTCATCAAGACAAGCTATAACCTAGGATGATCTAAGCTTTTTCAATCTCGTCACGACCTGAAGTACGATATTAATAACCAATTTAACCACTATTAAAACAATAGACCCTTTATCTTTACTAATGATATAATACCTAAATTAATTTCTTGATACTTGAATAAATTCCGAAATTTCGATATTTGAATAAATTTCCAAATTTTCCTTTAATCAATTGGAGTAGATTCCACTTTCTAGTTCCTTTACTAATAACCGATTCCTCCAATTAATCTTCATCCCACTCATAAATAATAATAATAATAATAATAATAATAATAATAATAATAATAATAATAATAATAATACCTTCGAATCTAATGAAACTAGTAACCATAATTCGACCCATTTTAATTTTCATCTTGTTTCTCAAATTCACGCTTTCATGTGAGTTTTCCATCAATATAATCATTCCCACGAACAATACTTAATCAAGAATCCCAAATAAAAATCTAGGGTTTGCCAAAAATGATATTACTTTACCATGATTAAACTGCAAATTATTCCATCAAGCAATTTAAGCAAGACATTATACTCCTTTCACTAAATCTGCAAATTTAACCAACTAATTAAACTCCAGAAATTTGACATCATGATACCATAAAACATTTACTTCTTAATCTCTTAAAGAAATGAAGTAAATAGACCCAAGCATGAAGAAATTAATACTTACTTCCTCCTTCTTCCTTTCTTTTTTTTTCTCCCTTTTCCCTCTCTTTCTTGGTCTTTCTGCTTCTCTGCCGTCTTTCTATATTGTGTGTGTGTTTTTTGAGAGAAAAAGGGGTCAATTCTAGTAATATAAAGTCCTACTTACTCAAAATTGCAAAGGAAGTCCCTCTTCTTAAATATAATATAAAATTAAATCTTAAACTTCCTAAAATATATAAATACGTCCCAAAATTTTATTTTATCCAACTTAAACCTTCAAAATATTTTTGTAATAAATTAAGCCCCAATTAAAATAATTTATTTCATTTTAGTCCCTTTTTTACTTTGATTTTGACAATTCAACTTTTGATTTTTGACTAGTAAAATTTGGTTTGTAACAATCTTACCTCCTTAAAAGAATTTCGTCCTCAAAATTCAATCAACTAGGATTCAAATATATCAAGATATAGAGTATATAGCGTACTTAATCTTCTTATGCCAGTGATGTCTCTTCCACTGATTGCCTTCTCACACTTTAACTAGCACCCCAATTTAACATCACAGAATTCATTCTTTCTTGTCCTTGGATTTTTCCTTGACCTTTCTTATATCGATATCTTTTCAACTGTATTAAGATGAGCTCCCTTTATTTGCACTAATAATCTTAACTTATAAATTACATTCGATACCTACTAAGCCTTAGAAATAGACCATACATTCTTAAGTATCGAATAAACTGTTGTAAACTCCATCATTAAACAATTGACCGAAATTTTGAAATAACATCTAAAAAACCAATATATGATATTCTCAATGTTCATTTTACCAAATCTTAGAAAAATTCAGCTATTTCCCTATTTGAAGTTCAAGATACTACTTTTCAGTCTCCAAAACTTCATCTTACATCATGATTCGAACAATTCTCTAATCAAATCCTTTTTTCTATAACAATGATTACATACTAAAACCAAATAACATTCTTTCACAAATTTCATAACAATAAATACGTCCTTGGAATATTCCAATATCATAAATAACCTCAATTATCGTCATTTGTGTTTAGTTCTTATAGGTTAATTCCATGAAAAATAGTTTATTATCCAAGTCCCATCTAATTAACAAACCATAGTTGATAGCATCTCATCTAAACTTGTATCATCGTGTCTAACTTCTATTAAAAGAAGCCTCACAATGTAATTTAATCTTATAACCCCTTACAACTAAGTCAAAGATAGATACTCAACTCCACCATATAAACTATAATCCTATTTATATACAATTTTATAAATTTTATCTCATGAATTGACTATATATCATTGGAAAAGAATCTTTAACCTTTATCGGTCTATCAACAATGATCCCAATATCATTTTGTCTCCATTCTATATACCTAGAGCTCCAAATGAAAAATATTTAAGGGTAACTACTTCCATTCTCAACTAACAATATCTGCAAAAATTCAATTATTCATGATTTTCTAAAATTCTAGCTATCCCCAACAACAATTGAGATAGCTCAATATGATGTTCTTTTCCTTTAATTCTATATCATGCAATGATAATATATAAACAACTTCAATAACACTATTTCAAATAAAAATATACTTTAAACTTTGATGATAGATAAATATATATGTTTCTCGTAATGTGATAACGGCACAATTCCTAAATTCAACCCCAATATAATCAACTCCAATTCCTGTCTTAATCATGCCTCTTTAACAATCCATCATATAATTCATAATTTCTCATCTTACTTTAGAACACTTTTGAAATCTTAACATAATTCATTACCATATATCAAACCCTCATCAACTTTAGATACAAACATAAATATTTCCTCAGAATTTAATTCGATAGCGAAACTTTTTACATCCTTAATCCGACACCATTTTTGGTGCTTTTTTTTTTTTTCTTTCTATGAGGAGACAATAATAACATTTAATCAATGATAATTCTACACCCTTATTCCATAAAGAGGTCATTGACCTATTACCAATGCATAAGCCTTCTTGTATATCGCACAAAGACCTTCAAGTAAAATCATAAATTAATGATACTATTCCACAATTGAATAAAATTTACATTTGATAATCTTCTAAGACTTTAGACTATCCGACATATCATCTGTATATTTCATAGCAAATAGACCTCGATAAGAATAGAATACTTTATCCATGAGATCCAAAATACAAATAAATAAATAAACCCAAAAATTACATCACTAAAAATTCATTATATTCACCTTTAACTTCAAAATTTAACTCGAAGATTCCAAATGGTATGTAATATAACATATTAATCCAACAAATGATCTTAACAAAATTAGCAATATGTCATATTAACCCAACAAATGACCTTAACAAAATTAACAACTTAATAACCCAAATATCTCATCACATTATTTGGGTATAGGACAACCATAACATTCTTTTGCTTGCCATTCACCATATCATGTAATTTTGTCATTTATGATCACATTGTATAACTTGACACATTTGATTATACCTATTTCCTTGGGATCACAAAAATAGTGCTCCTTATAACTATCAAGTGACATTTCACACATTAATGTACCATCAAGATTCTGTGTGCTAATATTTTTTTTATTAGTCATAATCAAGATTCCTTATCATATCTCCACATCTTGATTTTCTAATAAATGCATCTTCCTCCATATGCTAAATATGATCACAATTTCTCACTATAATTCCCATAATACCTCAATCAATTACTTTACAAAGCAATCATGATTTCAACTCATAATGTCATCAACTATACTCATATCAACATTAGACAATACTTATCATCCAAGGCATCCACAAGACATTTCCTCTAATAGTCATAAAAGAAACTATAACCCAATAAATCTCATTACTAAGAAAAGTTATACTCTTCACTTAACTGCCTGCTGGATATATAGCTCAATTATTAATATATTAAAGAAAATATAACATGGTGCCAACATAACAACTCTAACAACTCTCCTTACCATCGGATAATTCTCAATAACCTCATCATACTTATTATGCTCAAATCAATAAAGGTCCTTGTTTCTTAGTTGCCAAATCCTCGTTATCGGGGACAATATGAGTTTCGAATCTACATTGGAGCATGTGAGTTCTACCACCACACCATGACTAACAATCTCAATGACATGCTATTCTGAAAAAGAATTTCATGAATTACTCGAGCTTAAAAACTATTGAACCATGCTTTTATACCAATTGACATGACTCGTCCCGAATCACTTTAATGGACTCGACACGTGTCATGTGTCAATGGTAGATGCCAGCTAAATGAAAGACCCACCACCAAGGCAACTTTGACTTGTTTAACTGAAAAATATTTTTAACATAATTTTGGCAGAGCTTCCCCTGAAATATGAACTAAACCACCTGAATAATAATCAATTTTTCATTAAATCCATACCTATAATATTAATCAGGGTATGCCAGTTCCTCAAATATAAACTATTCAAATAAAATGCTGGCAAATCAATATTTACTTGCTTTACAATCAACAATCCTCAAATATACTAAAGATACCAAATATTCAGTGAACCCATGATAACTTTTTTTGAAATAAACTACATATAACCCAAAAGAAACATGTACTATATAATCTGATAAAGTAGGTCATACAACTAATGATGTGGGGCTCAATTCGATAGATCGACAAGCTCCAACACTGATCAATTTGGCTACTATCTGATAAAGAAAAAGGTGAAAAGTTATATGAGTTTATAGCTCAGTGAGTGGATAATTTGCAAATAAAGATACTTTTCCATTTATGCATACTTTCTGAAAATTCTTGCACTATTAAAACTTGTAGGAATTCTGAAATCTAATAACACTTTCAAAACCAAACATGAATGCACCATAAAATTCTTTGTTGTTCACTCTAGATAAACAACTATAAGGTATAATGAATATATATAATCTGATAACAGTAAATATAAGTTAAAATATACTTTTGTAGAATTATAAACTGAAATCATTATTCTACAAACCAAATAAGCTAAATTCTGTAGTCTGAAATCTGATAAGCTACATAATACTGAAAATCACACCAAAAATGTACTCAATGAATAGCCTTGGTCATGTGAGAGGGGCGGTACTGGCAAGTGCCACCCCTTGGTTCTATTTTTAGGGGTTTTCCAAATCAGGTGAGATGAATTGGGGATGGGGACTTCCCCTACAATTTATGAAATTTCGAGGTGGCAGCCACATTTAAAGAAAATGGAATCAATGTGCAATTTTAAAAGGAGCCCTTTGTGAAATTTTAGAAATGTTGAGGGTCGTGCTAATTTCAAAATGGGTCAGATTGTAATTTTCAAAATAAATTTTGAATTTGAATTTTAAAATGGTTTTGAATTTTAAATGGGTTTGACATATATTTTTATTTTGACACAAGTTAAAATTTTATTTAAAATATTAAAATTTGACTCTAAATTGAATTTTATTTTATTTAGGAATTTTACCCTAAATTAAATGATGATTCAATATAAATTAGAGTTGGATCTAATTTAGTATTTAATTAAATTTTGATTTTAATTAATTATTCACCCTAATATATTCTTGAAATTAGATTTGGACTCTAATTCGACATTTAATTAGAATTTGATTTTAATTAAATTGTCTCATCCAAAAATTTGTTCGAATTAGAGTTGGACTCTAATTTAGTATTTAATTAAATGAATTTATCCTAAAATCTTGGAATTGGAGTTGGACTCTAATTTTGATATTTAATTAAAATTTGATTTTAATTAAATTCAACCGCCTTAAATTTTGAAATTAGAGTTGAACTCTAATTTGATATTTTATTAAAATTTGATTAAATAGTCTCGTCCTATAATTATGGAGTTAGAGTTGGACTCTAATTCAGTATATAATTAAAATTTGATTTTAATTAAATATGAGCGCTAACTAAATTAATTGATTAATATGATTAATTAATTATTTAATTATTCTAATCCATTTGTCTAAATTAATTTAGATGACCTTAATTGCTAGAAACTTGAACATATTTGCATATAATATTAGATATTATATAAGAATGCATTTATGTGATTAATGTATTATTAGTGGATGATTATGGAATCG